TATCTTCGTTCGTCTTCTCTACTCCGTCCCCAGATCCTGCCAGCAAGCAACATCTAGGCCCCTCTTCATTCCTATTATAACCGTGTTGTGCAAGCAATCAGTGTTTCACCTCCCCTACCCCAGATATCTACGGTAAAAACCAGGAGCACACTTCCTCATCCTTTCCATTCATGACCCTACCCCCTTTCCTTTCCAAATGTGCGTAACCTGGCCAGCCAACAAAGGATCTACGCTATTCAGTCCTTATATCCTCCTATCTCGCCCCTCTTCCCTGCCTCGAACGAAACCGGCTACAAACCACTACCACTTCTACCTGCCACATGGGGTAGCCCTATCAGCCACACACAAAAAAATTTTTTGCACATCGTGTATGGCCCTGGCCTAGCTGAGTTATTGTAATTGCCAAAAAAATCGGCATTTGAAGATGGTGGCAAATGAAACTGTACAATATCTGGTTTGTGGGCAATGCTTCTCTCGTAAATACGGCCTACGGTGGACGTACGCTGTTGCAGGTGAGGGAGAAGCACAGTTCGATTGCTCAGTTCAGGTGGTTTACCTCATCACATGCGATGAACGAATATCACAAAATTTCAGGTCGCTAGCTCGCTCAATTACTAAATGAGCCCGAGCTGAACTCAGCAGAGACACAGCCGAAAGTTTACTGTAGGTTATGGTCCTGTACACAGCACGGAGCAGTATTTCTGAAAATTACGCTTCCTCACTTCACAATTCCGGAACGATACTGTACGCTTCGGATTGCCATCACGCACTTCCTTTGTTCTGGAATAAACTGATGCCAAAACGAAGAATGACTGGGCAAGCCGTCCAGGGACGCGGACAGTCCTCATCCTCCGCACAAACACACACACACATACAGTTGTCTGTGCGCAGCGAGATGCATTTGCAGCCTCCGCTGCCGAGCGGTAAACGATTAGCGGTGGACCGTGCTGCTGCTGCTGCCGCTCCCAGAACAAGCACTCCTCCTACGCTAGTCGGAAGAGTGCACGGCGCATTGCTGTACACAGCTCGGGCCGGGCAGTGAGGGGTGTGCCAGGAAACCTCAGACCTCAAATTCGGGCTCGCTGGCGCACTCCTCGCTTTCACTCCTTCAGCAGCACCCCCGTTCTCGCTGGGCTCTCAGCACTGCCACCCGAGCTGTCAAT